TGATGAGGCAGCACTGATGGCCACTGATAGGCTGCTCTGATGAGGCTGAACTGATAAGGCGGCACTGATATTCTACACTGATGGGGCTGCACTGATTGTCAGGGCACTGATGATCAGTGCCCTGATTATCAGTGTAAACGTCCACTTTCACAGGAAAGCTGGTTATTGGCTTTCAACAAGAAAGAAAAAAGAGCAGCCACCTGCGCTGCCAGATATACTAAAAACCAGACCTAAGTGGCTGCAAACACCTAACTATAATCAAATAGTGAGAACAAAATGTATAAAAGAAATGCTGCTGAGCTACTTATTCATAAAGTGAGTGAACAATCAGCATAAAAGCATATAAATAATGTGCAAAAAAGTGCTGCGCTACTTATTCATACAGTGGGTGAACAATCAGCATAAAAAAGATATAAATCATGTGCAAAAGGAACAACCCCTAAAGAAACTATCCCAGCAGGTGTAAAAGCAACAATAAGTGTCACAAGTGGCAACCAAGATAGATTGTGACCAAAGAATGGTGAATGCAATAAAAGCACAAAATCATCAAGTGTTCAATGGATAAAATGCATGAAAAAATATAATAAATGGAAAACAATGTCAATGGTAAAAAAAATGTGGCATCAAACAAATAGTCCCAAAAAACTACAAAAAGTGTATCTTCAGCATAAGCGTGAGACCTCAGTGACTCCCAACAAACGGGCAATCCTTCACCACCTAGCGTGCGCGCTCACCTTCCAACTGCGACCCACAAGGAGTCACAAAGCATAAACACAGGTTGATGATCCCAGACCGGATGGATTTCAGTGGTATCTCAGCCCTGATGAAGTCACGTGACTTGTGTCGTAACACGTAGGACGGAAGCGTGGTGACGTCATTCCAGTACGGATGGCAGCTGCCATCTTGGTACTCCCAACCTCATACACCCTGTACTGTTTGATACAGTGATTGCCTTTTGGGTTTGCAGACCCGTTTTATATATTTGAGTAGGTTTTTTTGTGTCTATTAAAGTATTTACTTACTACACTATGGGAGCTCTATTTGATCCTTTCTTGTGAGGATTTTGGAGGAGGAGAAGATTGGAAAATTAAACACCTTTAAGGACATTGGTGTTACCACTGGTTCACATATATGCGGCCACGTGGGCCACGTTTTGCGCAGGCATGAGAGCCCATTCATATGAATGGACTCCCGTGCCCCGGGACAAGCAGGGAAGAAGTCCCTGCACTTCTTCGGAAAACGCAGCCCACACTGGAACCTTGGTTCCCAGTATGGTTGCAATTTCCAGTGCGGGCGATGTTCCATTAGAATTAATGGCATCCACCTGCGGGTCCACATTCCTCTTGTGGTTGTGCGGCTGCACGTATTTTTGTGCCGATCCGCAGCGGCACAACCCGCACAGATATGAACCTAGCCTTACTGCTTGATATATATGCCATGGAGAGGAGCCCTTGTTTGTCTTACCACTGAGATCCATCCGGTCTGGGATCATCAACCTGTGTTTATGCTTTGTGACTCCTTGCGGGTCGCAGTTTGAAGGTGAGCGTGCATGCTAGGTGGTGAAAGATTGCCCGTTTGTTGGGGTCACTGAGGTCTCACGGCTTGAGCTGAAGATACACTTTTTGTTTTTTTTTGGCACTATTTGTTTGATGCCACATTTTTTTGACGTTCTTTTTCAATTTATTTATTATATTTTTTCATGCATTTTATCCAGGCTGCCTGATGAAATAGCACGCCTGGACTCCTCTCGCTCTGCGCATGCTCACTAACGCGTCGCATTTTGATGACATCAGATGCCACATGTGCTGATCCCACCCATCTTGGAGACTCTGCCAGGCTTCACCATCTATGCTGCACATGCACAGCACCACCTGCTGGCAGACTCAATCGATCTCTCAGGATCAGTCACACAACAACATCTGGCTACAGATGTCTCACCCTCTTACCCATGAGCCTGTTTTTAAATTCTAAGATGTGAGTTACTACTTATCTTTCTATTAAATACCTTCACAGTACACACTTAGAGGCGCTGTGTTTCTTTGTTTCCCTTCTGCAGAGTTATGCTTCGCTCCTACGCAGCTTGCCCTTCGTGCCTACTGGACCACCTTCACCCCTGACCATTTGGAACTCCTCAAACATACATGGACTGCCTCACCATGTGCCTGTTATCCCTTTTGTATTGACCTTTTTTGGTCAAAATTTTATCTTGGTTGCCACTTGTGACACTTATTGTTGCTTTTACACCTGCTGGGATAGTTTCTTTAGGGGTTTTTCCTTTTGCACATGATTTATGTTTTTTTGTGCTGATTGTTCACCCACTGTACGAATAAGTAGCACAGCACTTTTTGCACATGATTTATATGTTTTTATGCTGATTTTTCACAAACTTTATGAATAAGTAGCGCAACACCATTTCTGGTTATTGGCATTCCTTTCCTCACTGCTGTGACTGATAACCAGAATTTGTTTACATGTGATCAGCTGTGATTGGACACAGCTGATCACATGGTAATGAGCCAACACCATTGACTTTATCCAAGGGACACATTTCACCACAGATCGCCAAGCTGATCGGGAGGGACGAAAGGCCCGCCTGGCCTTCAGGCTGCTATTGGCCGGGCAAGAACCAGTTAAACAGTACAAAGTAGATGGGGCACCCTCTGCATTCCAGGCATATCCATTCTGAAGAAGAGGTGCTTAAAAGGGTATATAATTACAATGTACAAGGTGACTCCAGTAGCAGTAATAAACTCTTTACTCTCAGGCTGTCCATACATGGATTAGATTTTTTTGATCAGCCAGCGGGCTGATCAAGACAAAAAAACCTGAACAAATTCACTTTTCCACGCGAGCTAGGTAGATGGAGGAATCCTCCCCGCTGTGTTATTGTATTCTGACAGCGGGGACTCCTCGGCTGCCAGAATACACTGATCAGCGCTGCAGCTAATTGGCTGTAGCGCCGACTGAAGAAAAATTCCTACTAGGAAAAGTCCTACTAGCTGAGAGTGCCAACAACTTCAAAAGACTTTTAGATTTCTTCCTTAGGAAGCAGAATATACTGGGTTATGGGAATTGTTACAGAATAAAAAACACACACACATACATACACATAAAGTAGGTTGAACTGGATGGACCTTTTGTATTTTTCAACCTTATGAGTTGTGTAAAACTACTTAAAATATTTTTGTTTTACATATACAATTTTCATTCTAAATTATATGTTTGATGTTCATTGCATGACCTTCTAGTTTAAAAGAAAATTAGCACAGGAGTTGATGTCACTTACCCAATTATTTTCCAAGCATGTTGTTACTATGCTAGCCTCTTGCTACTTACTGTTATCTCTTGCTGGTATTGTTAAGCATAAATGGCAAAGATGGTTTATATGCTGTGATGAGGTCTACAGGGTTACCCAATGGCTACCTTCTCCTAGCCACTACTGAAGCCATTCTAAACCAGGGTCCCTCCAGAAGTTGCTGGGGGGGGTTCCTTGAGCTGCAGCTGATTGATTTCCTATCTGCAAGGTTCTGGGTGCAACGCCACTTGGCCAAGCCAGTGGCATGACACCAAAGATCTTTTAAGCTGTCTGTAAGGGTGGCATTCTGACCATCATTATAAGGTGCCTTGTTCCCACTGACCCCTGACAAATTCATTTTAGCAGGGGTCCCTGGGTCCTGAAATTATTTAAAGGGTTAATTTGGGGTAAAGAGATTGAGAAAGGCTGGACTACTGTGTATTTCAGAGTATTTGTGGATAGAGCCTAACATTTCTACTATCCCCAGCATCACTAATCATTACCAATTGGGTCAAATTTGTACGATCCCCAGCATGACTAATCATTATCAATTGGGTCAAATTTGTATGTTCTCCAGCATCGCTAATCATTATCAATTGGATCAAATTTGATTCAATTATCTGTTGGCCAACTGTTTTCTATTAAAGCATGATTTTGGCCATATACTGTTTGATTCTCAACCAGTTCAGCTTGAACCGGCTGAGATTTGAACCATGTATGGGCAGACTAAATGTACCCAAGTTGATCAATCCTTGGTACTTGGGTACAACTAGCCTGCTGAATTTCACATGTGATTATCGCTAGCAGCTAGCAATAATTATTTACACTCCCCCCCCCCCCCCACAGGGAGAATTCAATGGCTCAGCGGGAGGGATTCCCCTGTCAACACTGTGTTAATGGGGGAATCTTGCAAATTTCTATCCTGAAACCATTTGCTCTGTGTACAGCCTGTCTTAGTTTGTTGATTTTAATGATGATTCACCACAATCAGTTTCTGTAGGCTATCATTGAAATGATCAATATATCGAATGGATAGCATAAGACTTAAGGATTTACTCTCATCCTTCCAGAAGCTGCCTAAGCATGCCTCTCCTGCCTCCAGTTTCTGAACACATAGATGAGGGTGCATAGTGACACATAAAAATCTCCCACTGGATTGTGGGAACATAATATAAAGACAAATTGCAGACAGTTTTCCAAACCAGTAATCCAAAAACACATTTATTCATTAAAAAAACAGACAGAAGCAGTCATCTTGGAAGAGACAGGGTTTTTTGGTCCTTCATGTTAGGACTTGGGATCTAATGAACTGAAGTTTGTTGTTTGAATGGTATGTGAACAGGGTGGAATATGCCTGCGATGATCTCACGCTGAAGATAGGTATGCAAGTTTGGGACTTCAGAAGCAGAAGTACCCAGGCAGAATCATCAGGATTGGCATTGCCATTTCTTAGGGGAAGTTCAAGGCAAAATGTAGATTATTAGTGTAAAGCTTGGCCACAATTAATTTTTCAATCAGGTTTTCACTTTAAAACTATAGGTCATAAGTCCACTTTAAGCACAGATCCCATGCTATTGGAAGGGATAAAATCTATAATATGGAGTGAATCACATGGTTAAGGGAGAATAAATAAATGGCATTAATTTAATCAGTGAAATTAATTAAATGAATCTGAAATTATTGGTCCTATATACAAGATAAGTCATTAGTACATTGGTTCGATATCACCCCATTGCTTGTAACTGGCTACGTCAAGAAGACTCTCTGCTTTGCAAATGAAGATAAGAATGAGGGTCAACACATCCCCTTCTGCATAATGGGAAAAGTTAGGCTCTTTGCCGAAGAACTGTCGGTAAATTTCTATTAGGGAAAACTTCCCTCGCCTCGCTCCCCCTTGATTATGCAGATATCTGAAGGCTTGAAGTGAATCCACACACAGGATGGAGCTGGAGAGGTCATGATTTTGTTGGTTAAGCTCAGTCTTTAGCAGGGGAAAGTCATAGTTAAAGCCATTGTGGGCCACCAGACAAACTGGCTGAGCCTGGCGGTTTATAAACTCGAGGAAGGTGTTGATGAGGCTCACATCAAATGTTTGCTTCTCGCAAATTCTCAGTAGCTCATTGTCCAAGCCAGTAATTTCAGAGGCTTTTGGAGTGAGGGGCTTCACTGGATCTACGCAAAGGCAAAGCTTATCCATCACTCGAGGTAGCTGTATCTCCCCTAAGTCATTGGTTGTTGGAGTCTTCAGTGAAGATGCATGGACAGCCACCAAGCAAAGCTCTGTGATTTTGGGAAGGTCTTTATTTAGACCAGTAGTTTCCAGGTCTAGGAAAATGAAGGTTTTCACTGAGCTGCCCATCACTGTGTTCTGTAATAAGAATGTTTGCAAACATTATTAAATAAGAAGCACAAACATATAAAATAAAATGCAACACCTGAATAATGTAAGAATATTTAAAGTTATTGTACAGTTACAAAAACATTGAATCGAGTGCCTCTTATTGTTAGGACATTTCTTTGTACAGCGATGGGCTCCTTTGAAAGAATTAATACACAAATGTAGCCTTCTAACTCATGTAGACCAGCATTTCCATTTGAGGAGACCAGTCATCTGGGTCAGCTAGTTGTGTGCCAGGTGACTGGTCTTCTTAATGTCTTCTTGATCTGTAGGGCTTTCCAAGGTCACAAAGGGAGCCCTACAGATTGCACCTACGTAAACCATTGGAAGGCTTTGGCCAGGGCACCGAAAGATGATACCACCTGAACCTCAGTGAGGGATTTCTATGGACAGAAGACAGATAAGTTTCCTTTTTTGAAAACTGAAATGCCCAAATTATAAACCTGGGGTACCTCCATTGGAGAAAACATCTGCTGATTGCACTGGAAGATTTTGCAGATAGTCTATTGTTCTTCCTTAGAAAATAAATAGGAACTGCACCAATATTTTGTAGTACATGCAGACTTGTACGGTACATCATATGAGAGCGGTTGGAGTTTGTCATTCAGTTGTTGGATAGTTACCCAATGTCTGGCATTCACTGATAAACGTGTAAAGGTTCTAGAAGCTTATCAATACTGAAGGCATTTGGAAAATCAGGAATTGTGGGGCAGAGAATACTTTAGTACACACAGTCAACTTTCTTTATGGAAATCAAGTAGCAGAATACTGCCCACATCCATTAAAGCCTGTTTTAACTAAGCTACCTAGCTGAAGAATAATTGTAGGGCCATAATTTCTGTTAAACTCTGAGGATGAGCTGTAAATAAACTTGATGTGTCCTCGGTTTACTTTTCTAGGAGTTGAGACCATGCTGAATTTAAAATTTAAGCTGTATGAAAAATGAAAAACTGGTCAGGCAAAGGGTAAATATCATCTGAGACAGTGACGAAAAACACAGATCTAAAACCCATTCTTTTTCCAGGCCAAGGGATCAGATTATTAAAGCCAGAGGGTAAGTATAACAAGTAGGATCAGATATTGATCTAAAGGCAGAAGGATCCACCAATAATGGCAGCGTCCATGTCAACTGTGCTTCTGCATAGGTACATAATGGATATACTGTACATTTGCTGCTATCAGCTCCTTTATATAAAGTGGCTCTTTTATTTTAATCACTTACAAAAAAAAAAAAAATAAGACAAAAGGTCCATGCAAAAGAACAACTTTTATACTCATCTTTCTGGCAGTCCTACCTCTCCTCCAGCTCCACAACCTTACCAGTCTCTTGGGCCTTCAATATTTCCTATAGTATATGTGTCCCCTACCACGTGCCATGACTCCTTCTTCCAACCTCTATGTCATTACAGGATTTCATCAGTAACGTAGTGGGTAGAGAAAGGAACCCCAGCCCGTGGCATTATACACAGATATCCAACACTTCAGAAAGTGTGTTGGTCCTACCTCTCCTTTGTTCCAGCTCTGCAATCTCCATCAGTCTCTTTGGCCTTCAATATTTCCTGGAGTATTGGATACCTGTGTCCCTTACCACACTCTGTGATTCCTTCCTCCAACTTCTACGTCATTACAGGAGTAAGCAGTGACCTAGAGGGTAAAGAAGGGAACCTTGCCTGCGGCGTTGTACACAGTTATCTGACACTCAAGAAAGTGTTGAAAGCTCAGGAGACTGAAGAAAGCCACAACACCGCAATGTTGGGGAGGTGGGATGCATGGGCTGCTGGAGATGTTAAGATAACTCTTATTTTGGAAAAGGAACTTTCTTCTTGATTTCCTTCATATGTTGACAGTGTTGCTTTAGATGTTAGCATCCTTCAGCTCTATAGGTGTAACCTTCTTGCACTTCTTTGAAAACCATTGTAACTGCAAAAGTTCTAAGGAATTCTTTTACCATGTACAGTTGTGTTCAAAATAATAGCAGTCAGACATCACTAACCTGATCAATCACTGTTTTTGGTAAAAATTATATTTCTACATGGCAAATAATTTACCAGCAGGTGTAGTAGAGTAATAGAAATCCAACAGACCCAGCCATCCTACTCCTCTTGGATTATGAATGACTCTCTACTTTCACTGAAGGAGATTCAGGCGGAACTAGTGCGTAAATCCCAAGAATATTTTCAGCTAAACTCAGGTTCTGTCTCTTCTTTGGTGACGTTGTGGGAAGCTTACAAGGCTGTTCTACGGGGTCATATTATTCAGATAGCTTTGAGGCAGAAGAGGGATAGACAACGTAAACAAAGTCAGCTGGAATCAAAGTTAGCTTCTACTTCGGCTCACTTTAAGCAGGTACCAACCCCATCGAACCGTAGGTTGTTAGATCAGGCTCGCCTGGAACTAGATCTCTGTTTGACTGATGAGGCTGAGCGTTCTTTGCGATGGACACGCCAGAAATGGTATAGTAAAGCAAATAAACCAGTTTCCATGTTAGCACGTAGATTGCGCTCTTTCGCGCACCATCCTAAACCGATTTCTCTACGCACTCGTCAGAATGTTCTCACCAGTAATCCTGTAGCGGTATTGGAGGAGTTCCAGCATCGACTAGCCAGACTTTATGCGGATCCTACACGGGCTGATCCCCAATCTATCTCTGACTTTCTATCTCATTTGTCCTTACCTACTCTGACCCAGGCCCATTAAGACCTGATGGACCATGACATTCAAGTATCGGAAGTTCTGCAATGCACTGCAGACCTGAAGATGGGCAAACACCCAGGTCCAGATGGATACACGGCTTCATATTACAAAAAATTGGCTGATGTGCTTGCCCCTCACCTTGCTGCTATGTTCAATGCGGTGAAGAGAGGTGCAAACTTTCCCCTGACTCTTTGACTGATAACGTGGTTATGATCCCCAAACCAGATCGGGACCATTCCTCCTGGGCAAATTACAGACCAATTTCTCTTATTAACATTGATATGAAAATTCTCACTAAGATTTTAGCCACTCGTTTTAATTCTTTGCTTTCTCGCTTGATTAAGAAGGACCAGGTGGGTTTTGTCCCCCACAGACAAGCCGGAGATGCCATCAGACGTATTATACAGTTACAACATTTGGCCCATACTCGCAAAATCAATATGATGCTCCTATCTTTAGACATCAATAAGGCCTTTGACTCTTTGTCCTGGCCTTATCTCATGTCGGTCCTCCATCAGTTTGGCTTTGGTCCCTCCTTCTTGTGTTGGATTTCCTCGCTATATACTTCCCTTCAAGCAAAACTCAAATATTATGTTTTTGAGTCTCCAACGTTTTCGATTGGCAGGGGAACTAGACAAGGTTGCCCACTTTCTCCTATACTATTTATCTTGGCTTTGGAACCGTTGGCAGAAGCCATTTGTATACATCCTAATATTAAGTGAATAGATGTAGCTGGTTCCCAACACAAGTTGGGTTCCCAACACAAGTTATCTATGTTTGCAGATGACATATTGTTATCGGTTACGAACCCGGGGTTACTTTGCCAAACTTATTGGCGGTTTTGGATTCCTTTACAGTTCTCTCAGGCCTCCAGGTTAATCCTGCCAAGTCTAAAGCTATGTCGATTACCCTCTCACCATCACTTTTGGAGACTCTGAAACATTTGTTTCCTTTTCAATGGCTTTCTGCCTTGCCATATTTGGGAATCAAGCTTACTCTGACTTACGAAGGTCTTTACCGGGCTAATTTCCCCACTGTTTTTAATGACTTGACAGAGTTGTTGTCCTCCTGATCTCATTATCCGCTTTTGTGGTTCGATAGAATCAATGTGGTCCACATGACTTACCTTCCCAAATTATTGTACGTGTTTTGAGTTTTACCAGTCCCTGTTCCTTCACATATATTGTGTATTCATCAGCGAAAACTCCTATCTTTCATCTGGAGCTCCTCCCGACCCAGAATCAGTAAACAAATCTTATATGCTCGTAAGATCGAGGGTGGGTTATCTGTCCCAAACCTTCAGTCTTACTATCTGGCGGCCAATATTGCCCCCTTAGCCCACCTCCATGCATCTCACCATTTTCCCTTGTGGGCTACTGTAGACTTGATGGACTCCCACCCGATTCCATCTCTTCTTTACCATGGCTTCCTTCTAATCATTGACCCTCATCCCTTAGCCCGACGTTGACGCTAACGCTCCGTCTTTGGGACTCCATTAAATATTCTGCTGGCCTTATTTCTGCCCATCTACCGTTACTACAGTTGCTACACAATCCATTATTTCCCCCAGGTCGTGACAATCCTGGACAGTTTGCCTGGTGGCAAGTAAATGGCTTCCATGATATTCATTCTATGCTCTCTCCCACTCGGATACTCACCTTTGAAACTCTGCACTCTTCTTACAATATCCCATTGCGGGAACATTTTGGATACCTTCAACTCCTCCACTTTATCAGTACTTTAATACAGACACATTCGGGACCCTACATTTTGACCCCCCTTGGAAATTCAATGTAGACCTAGATCCCATGCTCCGGGCTTTATTTCCCTGGTCTACTCTTCCATTGTTTCCCATAGAACTCCTCCAGTCCGTTCTTATCATCAGCGTTGGCAGTCGGAACTTGGGGGGCACTCTAGATCAGCAGGATTGGCGGATCATGACCCAACAATTATCTAAATGTTCTAGGAATGTTATCATTCTAGAAAATGCCTACAAGGTTCTTTATAGATGGTATTACACGCCGGCTCGTCTGGCTCGTTTTATTCCCACATATTCCCCGACTTGCTTTCGAGGTTGTCAACAGAAGGGTACCATGGTCCATATTTGGTGGTCTTGCCCCAAGGTGTGCAGATTGTGGATCAGAGTTTATGCCCTTCTCCGCACTATGTTTCACTCAGACATTAAACGCAACCCGTACGAAGCGCTGTTATTTAAACCATTAGTGGGCCTACTTCATCCTGAATGGCAATTAGCATCGCACTTGTTC